TCCCGGGTGCCTCTGTGGGGTCCCAGGTGACTCCCAGGGATCCCGGGTAGCTCTGTGGGATCTTGGGTGTCCCCCAGTGATCCTGGGTGCCTCTGTGGGGTCCCAGGTGACTCCCAGGGATCCCGGGTGGCTCTGTGGGGTCCCAGGTGACTCCCAGGGATCCCGGGTGGCTCTGTGGGATCTCGGGTGTCCCCCAGTGATCCCGGGTGGCCCCGGGGCGCCCCGGCCGTGCCGCGGTGGTGACGGGGCGCGCTCTGGGCAGGACGTGAGCCTGCACTTCGTGCTCTGGGGGTGCCTGCACGTGTACCAGCGCATGATCGACAAGGCGGAGGACGTGTGCCTGTTCCTGACGCAGCCCGGCGAGCTGGTGGGGCAGCTGGCCGTGCTCACCGGGGAGCCCCTCATCTTCACCATCAAGGCCAACCGCGACTGCACCTTCCTCAAGATCTCCAAGTCCGACTTCTACGAGTGAGGAAGGGGCCACGGGCGAGGGGGGTGATGCCCAAGGGGGACAATGGGGGCATGGGGGGTGGCACCGGTGGGGTGGTCGTCCGGCTCTACCTGGTGTTGGTGTGGCCTCGCCTCGAGTGCTGGGGGTAGTTTGGGGGGTCACCACAAGGAGTGGAGGAGTCCCCCGAGCTCCAGGTGGCTCTGAGGGGTCCTGGGTGGCTCCTGGGTGGCCCTGAGGGGTCCCAGGTGGCTCCAAAGGTCCCAGGGGAATCCAAGGGGTCCCAGGTGGCCCTGAGGGGTCCCAGGTGGCTCCAAAGGTCCCAGGGGAATCCAAGGGGTCCCAGGTGGCCCTGAGGGGTCTTGGGTGGCTCCAAAGGTCCCAAGTGAATCCAAGGGGTCCCGAGTGGCTCCGAGTGGTCCTGGGTGGCTCTGAGAAGTCTTGGGTGGCTCCGAGGGGCTGCTGTGGTGGCACCTTCAGGACCACTGTGGTGGCACCTTCAGGGCTGCTGTGGTGGCACTTTGGGGGCCACTGTGGTGGCGTCTTTGGGGCTGCTGTGGTGGCATTTTCGAGGCTACTGTGGTGGCATCTTTGGGGTTACTGTGGTGGCACCTTCAGGACTGCTGTGGTGGCACTTTGGGGGCCACTATGGTGACATCTTCGGGGCCGCTGTGGTGGCATATTTAGGGCCACTGTGGTGACATCTTTGGGGTTACTGTGGTGGCATTTTCAAGGCCACTGTGCTGGCATCTTTGGGGCTGCTGTGGTGGTATATTCAGGGCTGCTGTGGTGGCATCTTTGGAGTTGCTGTGGTGACATCTTTGGGGTTGCTGTGGTGACATCTTTGGGGTTGCTGTGGTCACATCTTTGGGGCCACTGCAGTGGCATTTCTGGGGTTGCTGTGGTGGCACCTTTGAGGCTGCTGTGGTGGCGTCATTTCTGGGGCCACCTCAGTGGTGCCTTTGGGGCCACCTCAACATCATTTCTGGGGCCACCTCAGTGGTACCTTTGGGGCCACCTCAGTGTCATTTCTGGGGCCACTTCAGTGGTACCTTTGGGGCCACCTCAGCATCATTTCTGGAGTCACCTCAGTGGTGCCTTTGGGGCCACCTCAGCATCATTTCTGGGGCCACCTCAGTGGTGCCTTTGGGGCCACCTCAGCATCATTTCTGGGGCCACCTCAGTGGTGCCTTTGGGGCCACCTCAGCATCATTTCTGGGGCCA